GCTCCATAATCACATCCACCTCAAGCTCCATAATCACATCCACCTCAGCACTCATTACCAAATTCAGAATTTTCTGTCCCCACTGGGCTCAGTCAGAAGCTGCTCCAAAAAAAAAAACACCTCATAGACATTCGACAATTTTCTTGTGATCCTCTACCAACCTAATCTTCCTCATCTACTTGCGTATTGAAGTCCCCCATGATTATTCTAATAGTGTATTTCTTACATGCCTTTTCCTTCTCCTGATTTATGTCCTGCACATTGTTAGTTCTCACTTCCATGAGGCTATGATGTAAAAGTACTTTGAGTTGAAGGGTGTAAAGAAATATCAATGAGCAGGCATCTTTCTCCAGAAGAATTCAGCCCAAATTTTATCAACTGAGCATTAGCTTCTCTCAATTATAAAACTAATTCTGAATCTGAAAGTCTTACTTTTTGCTCTTGATTTTCTTTGATCTTTTTGCTTTAGCTTCATAGTAGGACTGAAGGACCCTTGCTTTCTGCAGCTCAGCTCGACGTTCCTTTGCCTTAAATGAAACAGAAAACATGTTCTTATTCTCCCAAAGAACGTGGATGCTGCTAACTTCCTTAAATGCCCTTGGGAAGGTGGTAATGAGTTGCATTCTTGAACCGCTGCAGTCCTGGGAGCGTGGGTAAAATCCAACCACAGTACTGTTAGGTAGTTCCAGGATTTTGCCTCAGCAGTAAAGGAATGGCAGCATAGTTCCAAGTTTCAAGTATGGCTTGGAGTGGAACTTGCGTGGGATGGCATTCCCATACATCTGCTGACTTGTCCTTTTAGGTCATAGGGGTCCAGAAGATGCCGTTTTAAGGAATCATGACAAGTTGCTTTAGTACGTCTTGAAGATTGTACACGATGCTGCCACTATGCATCAGTCAGGGAGAAAATGAGTGTTTGCAAATGGATAGCAAACAAGTTGGTTCTTTTACAAACTGCAGGTGCAATCAGTTAGGCAATAGGAGAACATTCCTTCATAGTCCTGACTTTTGCCTTGTAGACAATGTACAGGCTTTCAGGAGTCACAAGGATAGTTATTCATTGCAAAATTCCCAGCCTCTGATTTGCTCTTGAAGTAACTGTATTGATACAGTTGGTCCCGTTCAGTTTGTGGTCAATCATAACCAGCAATGGTAATGCCTTAACGTGCCATTGTTATGGGGAGATGGTTAGATTCTTTATTACTTTAGATGGTTGTTGTTCAGCATTTGTGTGGCATGAGTGTTACTTGCCTCTTTTCAGCCCAAGCCTGGAAGCTGTCCAAGTCATATTGCACAAGGACACAGGATGCTTCATTATCTGAGTCACCACCACTGGAACTGTACATTGTAATATCAGCAAATATCCCCTTTTCTGACCTCAAGACAGAGGAATGATCAGTGATGAAACAGCCGAAAGTGGTTCAGCCTCAGACACTACCCCAAGGAACTCGTGCAGCAATATTCTAAGACTACTGGTCTCCAACAATCCATCTTTCCTTGTCCCAAGTATGACTTTGGAGTCTATGGAGCAACGGTTCATTGTAGCTCAGTTTTGAGCACAAAGTAGGCAAATGATATAACTTCTCTGCAACACGTGTACATGCTTAGATATTAAGTGTACCTCCTCTAGGCTCATAGCTCGGACAGAAGCTTGTTCTGCAGCTGTCAATGCTGGAACAGTCACTGGCTGCTTGTTCTTGTGAAGCAAGCTGAAAATCTCCTGTTCCAAGGGTGTCCGTGCCTTGAATGAACAAATTAAGAACAAATTACTTTGTAGAGACAGACATGAGTACATATTACATCTCACTTGTGAAATTAAAAGGAAATTTGGTTGCACGTATAGCAAGAAGGCTGGACTGAAAACAGCAAAATTTTAAATTAAGACACCACTCTCAGATTGGAAAGACAGAGCCATTGTTGAGATTGATCTTAATCATTTGATACATGAGTGTTCAAGGCAGAGGAATTGAAAGATCCTCTGTGAAATTAACTAGAAACTCAAAATTGCAAATGACATTATGGCAAATTGTGATAATGGTTATGAAACAATATAGAAGAACAGAGATGAGCAAGCACATTAGCAAAATGTAGAGAAAATGGAAAGGAATTGAATTGTGACGGTAAGATTTTAAGCAATGCTTTTCTGTATAAGACCATGCTTGTAGACCAGTCTAAAAACAGACAAATGGAATCCAAGGACATGGCAAATTCACTAAGGTCTTAACAAATATGGAAGTTATAGTTGTGGACCGACTTAAGATTTATTATTATTCTTTGAAGGAGTAGAAAGTGCTTTGGATAAAGGAGGCCTACAGATGTTACAGTACTTGGATTTCCAGGAGAATTTGATAAGGTGCCTCAAAAGGTTATTGGTATAAATAAAAACACAATGTAGGAGATAACATATTAGCATGCATAGAAGATTGGCTTGCTGGCAGGAAACAGCACTCTTGTGGGTGAGTCTGGAACTTTCAGAATAGCAATCAGGAAAATCTTGCTTCTTTCAGAAGAATTTGCAATTTTGCTTCAGGAGGCAGTGGAAACGGGGTTAACAAATATTTTTAAGACAGGTGGATAGATTCTTGTTCAGCAGGGAAAGCAAGGGGAATCAAGGGTTATGCTGATGGGAGGGTAGCAGTAAATGGGAATAAAAAAATTCAACTTATTGAATCTTGAAGCGGCTCAAGGGCTGCATAACCTTATTTCAAAGTCTGTACTTTTGAAGGACAATGGTAAGGTTAGGAATAGTTTGTTTCTGCACATAGCAGTAAAGAGATTACAACGTGCAGATAACAAAAGAATAAACAGAAAAAATATCTACAATCCAGGATGATTGTTAAAAAGTCTAACTGCTTGCTACAGACTATACTGAAACATTGAAACCAGAAAGAAATTGAAAAGTTAATGATACTTTTTCAAGCAAAGTTCAAACGTGGGAAATTGGAATGAGTAAAATATCACTGGAGACAAATTCATAGCTTATTTTCTAGTTTTTAAAAACATCTCTCATATGACCATTATTTATACGCAAGTTCAGAAAGGGAATGTCAGCTAGTTTTTTCATGACAGAAAGCATCACAAAGACCAATTTTGTCTTTACTCAATATTTACACATGCACTTTGCAACAAGGAGAGATGCAAGGTCATAGAAATTAACTTCTAATTAACCAATTAGAAGTTAAACATGAGATTAAAAAAAAACTACCATTCCTTGTCCGGAGGATCTTCCAACTGATTTGAATAGCTACGTGCTAGCTCTGGAGAGATCAACTAAAGTCACCATTAAGCACTGAAGTTAGAGCCTTTCGATTTATTTGGCTCAGCTGGCTATTGCCTGAACTGGACAGACATCAAGTGAGTCACATATCATATTTCTACTCAGCTATGATGTATATATTGCAGAGAAAGAATGTGCACAAAACAAAATTACTGAGAGAATTGGATATTGCTTTATGTCATTGATTTCCTGCATGCTGAATTTTCAGTTTTAATGACTTGACTGCTTCTGAACTTTATTATTCTGTATTAGTACAGGAAATACTATCCCATAAACAGGTACTGTCTTATGGGGCAGAGAATTTTCTTGCATTATTTCCAGACAGTTTCTCCAAGACATTTCTTGACATAATAAGCCTTTGGTGCTTTTCAATAATGAGGGTTGTGTCACTAGTGTCTGCTCATATTGTTTAATGTTTTATTCGCTCAACATGGAGATAAATGACCTGGATGAGTGAACCAAATGCAACATTTCCAAGTTTGCCGACAACAAACTGGGTGGATTATGTTGTGAAGAGGATGCATGGAGTTCAATGTAATTTAGACAAGTTGAGTGAATTGGCTACATAGCAAATGCAATGTATGTACAATGTGGCTAAGAAAGGATTTACTTGCCAGAGAAGGAATGTAGCGGAAGTTCCCTATATCGGTCTAGTGAACATCAGGACTGTCCTAAAGAGAGATTGGTTCAAATGGGCTAATATTCACTGAAGTTTAGAGTGATGACAGGGGATCGGATTGAAATGTATAAAATTCTAACAGGGCTCTGCAGGCGGGGGTGTTTTCCCTTGTTACAGAGTGCAGAATTAGGGGATTCAGTCTCAGGATATAGGGTTGACCATTTAAGACAGATGAGGAAGTGGTGAACCTGTGGAATTCTCTAACAAAGGAAGGCTGCATATGCGTGTGTTGTTTTTTTTGAGGGGGCCAACTGACTGAATATATTTAAGAAAGAAATAGATACATCTTTAGATCTTAAACACAACTAAGGGTATGGGGAAGAAAGTGAGAATATGCCACTGAAATAGAGGATCATCCATGACCAAACTGAATATTGCTGTAGGCTTCAAGTGCTGAATGGCCTGCTCCTGCTCTTCGTTTACATGATTTTATGTTTGAACAAAATGCCTACCAAAATTGCACCTTTTTTAAAAAAAGCAGATGTTACATGAGCATCACTAGCAAGTCAATAGACGTATGAATGCTTGGTCTTCATCCACAGGAATTTTACGATGCTGTGCTGGGGCTTTGGAAAGTGACATAACATTTCCAACTATATCTGACCTATGATTACAGGCTGACTGGGAAATTTCATTTTTGGCTTAATTCATGTTATGAGCACAACAAAGCAACTCTTTCCAGAAAGCATCTTCTACAAACCACATACTGTACCATACCTTCCAGCCTGCTATCATTTCTTCCACTGGTTTGACAGTTAGAGGTTCTGCATTTAGTGGAAAGACGAGCTGTTCTGCTCTCCGGTTCTGTAGCACAGTATGATTCCACTTTGTAACTGCTTTTGACGTTTTCTCATATGCCAATGACCTTTGAATCTTTTGACAAAAACAAACAGTTTAAAAATGTTCAAATAATCAATCCTTATTGATAAATTGACAAAGTTGAAATAATTTCAGTTTTATGGGTATACATAGTTTATTTGATAATTACCAATATTGTTATGAAAGATTGTTTTCAGAGTGTTAGAACTTTAATATCTATTATATACCTACCAATGTCAAGAAATGTCTTTCAGGTACTGATGACCATTCAATTCATTCAGAACACTTGATGGTTTTATCATGTCCATCATACATACCTCATGTACTACTAATGTATTAGAACTAAGCTGTAGATCACACAACTAGGCAATGTTTGGTCTAAACTGCTTGACTATGCAACAACCCAGAAACTTCCCGCAGGCTGAGCACAAACTGACCTAATTTGAATAATTGTACACATATGGCCATACAAAAACAATTTGAATGCCCCACACACTTAAGTGAAGAGACTGTACATTACAAAGTAGATTGGAGGGAACATTGCTAGTCGCTGACTCGAGAAAACTGAGTGATGTTGACATGTTTGTTGTTATTTTTCACTAAAGAGTCAAATCAAATGATTTCAGCTTACAAAAAAAACCGAGAGAGAAATCACTGATCTCTCTTATCTGGAAGATTTTCTCAAACATTTTTGTGTTTTTAATCCATTTGATACATCAATTTATTGCTGACCATGCTGGTCAGTATTGCTGATCATAGCACATAACTCATCACAATTCAAAAGGCAACCCTAGCTATATGAATTCTAAAATAATTCACCTTTTCAGTTTGCTGTTTGCTTAGAGGTAAGTCTAGGGTTTTGTTTGTCTTCTCAAATGTCTTGAGCTGTTTTTTCACAGTACTCAGCGATGGTTTAATGGTTCCCAGCAGATCTGATAGCTGAATCTTCTCATTAGCACCTAGAAGAAAGTGTGCAAGTTGACTAAATCAATTAAAAATCTTCAGCACAGCGACGAAGTTAAACAAGGAACAATTAACAAACCTAACATAGGGAGGTGATGGCCGAGTTGTATTACTGCTGGACTGTTAATCCAGAGACCCAGATAATTTTCTGGGGACCTGGGTTCAAATCCTGCCACGGCAGCTGGAGTTTGAATTTAGTAAAAATATCTGGAATTAAGAATCTAATAACGACCATGAATCCATTGTCGTCGGGAAAAACCCATCTAGTTCACTTATGTCCTTTAGGGAAAGAAACCGCCATCCTTACCTGGTCTGGCCTACATGCGACTCCAGATCCACAGTAATGTGGTTGACTATTAACTGCCCTCTGGGCAATTAGGGATGGGCAGTAAAATGCTGCCTGGCCAGCCCTCATCCTGTTAATGAATTTTAAAAAAATCATTCAGCCAGAATGAAATGATGCTGTGCGTAATTTTGTTCATTGGTTTATATCCTCAGAAAAAAAAAAACAGTAAACCTCTCCCCAGACTACTTGGGTCACAAATTTTGTGTCACTACTTGTGTCACAAATTTCCTCCTATGTTTGCTGCAGCAGCACACCAGCTATCTTCTCACAACATGCTTTGATAATTGTCTGCAGTCTGCTTGAGTGTTGTAAAAGGAGGTAGAAATTACAGCTGAAGTTTCTCTTTTTTTCCCACCAAATGTCAAAACGCATTCCACTCCAGAAAGTGATGCTGCATGGTAAACCAGAACAGCAATGCCATTAAAATAATCAAAGCCACATACTACCCTGAACAAATACTACCACTCTGCAGCTATTGCTAGGTCAAAATTCTGGAATCCTCTATCCAATATTACAGTGAGAGCAGCTCTGAATGCATGCTCCAACATTACAGTTATCCCAAGAAGACATACCATCTCAGTTTTCTACAATATGCAATATGAGGTCTTAACAGCAGCAACCACCTCTGGCTACTAAACTATAAAACAAATGTAACCCTTTTTCCTTCCTTAACCCAAGGGCAGTACAAGCTTGATGGATACATTTTATTGTGAGCAGTGGAGAATTGTGGGAGATAACTCTCTAGGGCCCATAGTAACACACCCATCACAAAGCTCCCCAAAACAGAACACTGAAATTGAAGAACAGTCATACTGGGTTTGAAATGTTAATTCTGTTTTTCTCTCCACAGAGAGTGCAAGACATGCTGAGTGCCTCCAGCGCTTCTTGTTTGCAACTGTAGTATTCTACTGCAATCCAAATTGAGCTAACTTGGCATATTACAAATCAAACCTGGAATTTTCTTTAGCCCAGCTCCCTAATGACAAACTGAGAAAACACCTAAATCATAATTGATTTGGTCAACGTTAGCTCCAGATTAAGACAGTTGATTTTGCGATGTTATCAATCCATTGATTCAGAAGTTATAATCAGGAGTTTGAGGTAAAGGTACTGCTCACTACCTTGTTAAAGACCATATGGGGCAACAACATTTGATGATTAGATGCACATGGTTAAATGGGGAAATCAGGTCTGGAGTCTCAGTCCTTCAGATTTTAACCACTGTTAAAAGATTTAAAAACATGTAACTTTATCTTTCTCTCAATCTCATCTTTCTTTTCCTCACATTATTTTATTTCTTGAACATGATTTGGCATTGAATCAACTATTCTAAATTGCAATACCTAGTTCAGGCACTGCATGTCTCAGCAAGAAATCTTCATTCTGATGAAGAATTTTACACAGTTGCTTGCCCTGTTCAAACAGATCCCAGATCCCCTGAAGAGGGTACCAAGCTGTTTTGGATTTCTGATTAAGTTCTACTGTAAAGGTTCATACAAAGTCTCGCCTTGATTTATGGTTATATTTAAGCGCAAAGAATGATTGACATGGTCAGTTCAGCAGACTGCACAACGTAGGACACTGACTCCAAGCCACTGATGGGGCATAGTATGCTTATTAAGATGATATCTTATGGCAAGTGTCATAAGATGCAAACCCAGATGCTTATCATAACAGGAAATAGGTATCAGGTCATTTTAGAGACATTCATGTATTCATCACATTTGTAAAAGGTAGCAGGTTTACAATTACAATTCAGTACATTCTAACTTCAACTAGATTTCAGAGATGGAGATTGAAAAGATTAGTAGGTTAAGAAACATCGGCCAGTCTCGTCCATATCTTAGTTGTCGTTGGATAACTTGGTAGCTGCTTTTTGACTGCCCTCTCTGTTACTAAATGCTCATGTGTAGCAGAACCTTAACCAAGCTAAAAAATGGACTGCAAAAACAAAAAAAAAAAAAAAAATTGGGTTTCTATTACTTTTTATTTGATTTATTATTGTCACATGTACCTAGGTTTTGCATGCAGTACAGGCAATCCTACCATAAAAAGTGAATTAGGGTAATAGAACAGAGCAAAGAGTGCAATGTTACAGCTGTAGAGAAGGTGCACAAACAGCGAGCTCAATATTAAATTTAAAACATGAGGGGTCCATTCAGGTGTCTAATAACAGTGGGGAGGAAGATGTTTTTGAATCTGTTGGTATGTGTGTTTAAGCTTTTGTATCTTCTTACAACTGGGGTGGGAGGGGTCTCTGATTATGTTGGCTGCCTTCCTGAGAAAGCGAGAAGTATTAACGGAGTCAATGGATGAAGGTTGGCTCGTGAGATGGACTGGACTGTGTTCACAACTCCGTAGTTTTGTATAGCCCTGCACAGAGAAGTTGCCACACCAAGCTGTGATGCATCCAGATAGAATGCTTTCTATTCTGCACCTATAAAAATTGGCAAGAGTTTTTAACAGACATGCCAAATTTCCTTAGCCTCTTCAGTAAGTAGAGGCATTGTTGTGTTTTCTTGAAGCTTTCTGGTCTAAGCCAAGGGAAGCTGTTAGGCAACCATATCAGTGGGTGCAGACAGAATAAAAACATTTGAAACAGAGACAAAGGAGACCAACAGGCAAAGAAAATTAAAAGCATGAGTGTTTAATACATGGCAGCATCGTTACGCGCGTTCATGTTGACTTTAAATGTTATTTGTGCAGAAACCTTTTTGAGTACTGTACCTTCTGAACTGACCGTGAATTCAGACACCTGCAAGCTGGCTTCTGTCCTCTCTGTCAACTTCGGCCTAAATTAGAAACGAAAATAAAAGTCTAATAGTTTACTACAAGTAAATGTTTTCATATTTTTATGAAACACTGCTCAGAAGTACTTCATTTGGATATTGATTTTATATTAATTAAAGATGTAAGGGCAGATATATAGAATGATGAAGTGATTAGTCCCAGTCCTAAATATTATGAAAAGTAATTACACATATACAGAATGCTGCTTTACTCAATATATCAAGATAAACTTTTAAAGCATTGCAAGTTCACTGCAAAAGACTAATTTAGCTGTTGTCTACAGCGAATGAACAATACTATTTTAGATTTTAACTGAAAGCTTCTCAATAACAAGTACAATTGCACTCTTTATCAGGGCTAATATTTGTTCAATGATTTATAAACACTATATGACAAAAATTTGTGTCTGTTTTTACTGTGGCTTGAAAAGACCCTTGATGTCCTTACTTTCTCTTGTTACCGAGGGAACTAATTGCCTCCAATAATTTTTGATGCCTCCTCTCATCATCACTGGCATCCTGAAAGACGTAGAAATTAAAAACATGAATCAGTGACTCCATGAAAAAGATAACTGTAGCAATAGATTAAGCCACCAACAGAGGTGTAGGTTCAAGTTTTTCAACTGCTCCAATTTAAGATGTTTCCTGGTAGATAATGACATCACCACTATTACAGAATCTAGGACTCAGCCACACTGCAAATCAGTACAGCTCAATTCCATTTCTGATCATGTTCAGTCATAGATTCCTTGAACAACGAGGGGCAGTGCAGAAGATGTTGTTCAAGTGATATTTAGCTCCCCTAAGTCCACACTAACTGTATGCACAAGCTCAATGCCTAACATTTTCAAGTTTTTATAACCCAAAATATGCATCATCTAAATCGGAGGTTTTGCACTTTAGCAGGTAGAACAGAGGAGCTGAATATTATTTAAATAGAGAAAGACCACAGAAAACTATGGGAGAGGGATTTGAGGGTCTTCGTCCATGAATCATAAAAAGCTAGCATCAAAGTTCAGCGGGTAATAGGGAAGGTAAATGGTATGTTTATTTCAAAGGAAATGGAGTACAAAAGCGGGGAGGTAAACTATACAAGGCACTAGTCAGACAACATCTGGAATACTGTGGATATACTGGTGTTGGAGGCAGTCTACAGAATGTTCACTAGGTATAAAGCAGATATGGAGGGTTGTCTTATCAGGAGAAGTTGAGCAGGTAGAGCTTGTCATCTATGGAGTTTGATTTGAGTAGGTTGGGCCTGGACTCAGAATTTATAAGAATGAAATGTAAACTATTCGAAACATTCAAGATTCTTAGAGGACTTGTCAGGGTAGGAAATATTGTTATCCCTCATGAGGAGTGTCTAGGACCACAGGGTGTAATCTCAGAACAAAGGGTCACACATTTAAGACGAAGATCAGGAGGAATTTCTTCTCTCCGAGGGTAGTGAAACTGTGGAATTCTTTGCCGCAGAGGGCTGCTGTGGTTGGGTTAATAAGTATATCCTAGGCTAAACCTAAGATATATCCTATATCCTAGATAGATTTTTAGTCAGTAAGTGAATCAAGGGTGTTCAGGAAAAATCAGGAAAGTAGAGATGAAGATTATCAAATCAGCCATGATCTCGTTGATTGGCAGAGTAGACTTGATGGGCTGAATGTGTTACTTTTGCTCCTATGTCTTATGGTTACCTAATTCTGTGTGCATCAAATCTTTCTTCAAAATATACTGATCTGAATGTAAACCGAGATACTCCTTAACCTAAAGGCTGTAGCAACTACTGAAACAGAACCAGCAGCAGTGAAAACTTTCTTTTAAATACTAGCACACCAAGAAGTTCAACAATTACAGAATAAAGAAATGTAACAGATAACTGACAGTTGTTGAATTTCCAATCCTCATCACCTATGGATATCCATCAGCTACAATCTGATCATTAATTTCAAATTTATCTCACTGTTTCTATTAATGTGGTTGGTGGCTCCTGCTATGGACTTTAATTTCTCAAAAATGAGACAAATATTCCAACGACAATCTCCTTTTAATTTGTGTCATCAAGCTTCAAATGTCAAGAGATTTTCTGTTTCATTATTTATCATCAATAAGGCAAGAGTACTAAGAACAGCTCTTTCCATACCTTCAGTGTCTCAAACTTTAAACAAGGTAAAGTGGTGAATAAGACACAGAAGCATTAAAAAGAGTTACATAAGCTTTACTGTTCAGATTTCTGACACTTGGAGCACACGTGACCCCAGAGCCAGAATTGGAATATTTCTGTCTTAGAGTAACAAACCAAAGTGACGGTTTAAAATAAGCAACTTCCAAGAAACAAGGTACTACCTCATCCTCACTGGCAGTCAAGGCATGTTCAGTGTGAAACAAATCCTCTTCTTCCATTCCAAGTGAAAGTAAATCTCTGAGAAAGAGAAAAATACAAGGTCATTGACAGTCACACAGATTGAATAACTCAAAGCTGAAACATGTTAAAAAAGAACAATCTTGTTTCAAAAAAAAAGGGTAAAATTGACATTAATTAAATTATTCCAAAGTGCAAGTGAACTTCTGTCAAACATCTAAAAGTTTTATATTGTACGCTAGCCAAGAATAACAAATCAATTCTTGACCCCAGTTTTGTAAAACTACGGTACTGCTTCCACAGGTAGGGAACACCATCTTCAGGAACAACAAGCATCAAACAATGGCAGGCAGTCAGTCATTTTGCTGTTTGACAGCTTCAGCTCTTTGCCAACACAAATGGACTGACAAAATATAAAGTACAGTGCTGTTTGAACAAACCACCTCAAATAAATATATCTTATACCTGAACTACAAAAACGCAGCTGACAACAAATGGTACGCTTTTGACTACAGGGACAAACAAAACTTCCAAATAAACATGTCCAAGTAACAGCAGGATCTTGCATCGTCAGAATCTTCCAGCCCTGATTTCGCTCATATGCATGAAGAACAACGCTAGATGGAACATAATTCAACAGAGGAAATTGTTCAAAGAGTCACTTGTCACTCGCCTAAACAGACCTTGAATGCTGAGATCACACCCAAAACGTACTTACATATTATGTGAATTTCTTTTGAAATTGAGAGACAAATCTTCCTTTCTTCACAGAGGAAGATGAAAAGAAAGAATTTTGAAAGGTCTGATTTACCACACAGGCAGCAGTGAAAGAATTACACCTACATCACAGCAAACAGACTTGGAAACAGCTCCACGTTACAGAATGGGAAACAGATCTCAGAGCAAAACTGCTTTTGCGGGTATCTGAGGACATTTATTATTAATCTGACTATAATGTATACTGAAAGTAACACGATCACAATGTATGTAGAGGTTAATGAAGCTACCAGGTAAATGGTAATGAAAGACAGGTACTGTATCATTCTAACTTATCAGTCTGTTATATTGATTAACAACTAAGAATCCATCTTGAATTATCTAAATTTCTGAATATGTGAACTTAAATAACAGAAAGAAATATGGCAGCACAACAGAAATACAAAAGAAAAACACACATCACCTCTTACAATAACCTTATACTCTCTTGTGAAAACAGCAATTGTGTTTACACATTTATCAATGAAATAGCCCCAGTTTCAGTGGAAGTCCTTCATATAGGCAGGTTGTTAAAAAAAAAAATCTGTTGAATATGAAAACTTCAGACAGCCCACAAGAAAATATTCTCCAGACTAAGGAAACACCAAAATTAAAAGGAAGTAGTTACTGCAATCCTGGTGACAGGTGGATTTTGAGAAGATATTTTTAAAGAAATGGCAGTGAGGTACAGCAAAGGAACTCCAGAATCTAGGACTTAAACATTGCTGAAAAGAGAACCTGTTGCCAGAGCATTTCATCATAGATTCAACAGAACACATGCAAAAATGCCACACTTCAAAAAAATACAATGATTTATATTACTAAATAAATAGGTGCTAGGGAGGAATACATATACTGAGAGATCAGAATTAGAGGAAGAGAGAGTTGAAGGGGCTGGATACAGAACTGGACAAGATTGTTAAGACAGATTAGGAAAAGGTCATGTATGATTGAATGATACTGATGACATAAAATTTATTATCAACCTTGTAGGTCAGCAAAAACATGGATGTTGGCGAGTGGGAGTTAGCTGCAATTTTACTAATTGGATTTTATGGATTGTGGAAAAAGCAAAGTGATACTTGAGCAATCTTTTACAGAGGAACACAAGTTTTAGCACTGAATGGAATACAAGGACAGAGGTGCCACATGGCAGGTTCATTAGCAAATTAGAAGTGTTTGGAACGAAAACAAAGTTGCTGGAAAAGCTCAGCAGGTCTGGCAGCATCTGTGAAGGAGAAAACAGAGTTAACGTTTCGGGTCCGGTGACCCTTCCTCAGAACTAGGTCAAACACTAGGAGTGACACTGAAATTAAAGTTGGTGAACAAGAAGAGAGATTGGAACGGAAATCCCGTCGGAGAGAGGGGCAGAACTTCTTCAAGGTGGGCATGCCTGGAAGAGACGTGGCAGTGAGTTAAATACTAAATAAAAACCAAAAGAACTGCGGATGTTGTAAATCAGGAACAAAAACAAAGTTGCTGGAAAAGCTCAGCAGGTCTGGCAGCATCTGTGAAGGAGAAAACAGAGTTAATGTTTTGGGTCCGGTGACCCTTCCTCAGAACTTGAGAGACCCTTCCTCAGAAGTGTTTGGGATTGATGGGTACTTGGCACAGATGAGATTTTGGCTAAAGGATAGGAAAGAGACAGTAGGTATAAATGGGCTTTTCTCAGACTGGAGATAAGTTGAATGTTGTGTTCTCCACAGATCAGCGTTAGGACCCTTGCTTTTTCTGACTGATGTAAACGATTTGGAGATACGTGTTGAGGGCAAAATCTCTACATTTGCAGATGATACTAAGCTAGGGAGAATGGTGAATTGTGAGGATAATGCCGAGCAACTTAAGCGGGACACTGGCACGTCGGCAATATGGGCAGACGTTGGCAAATAAAAAAAAATCAATGCAGAGAAATGAGAGGTAATACGTTTTGGTGGAATAAAGACAGAAAGACAATACAGGCTCAATGATACATCTTTGAGGGGAGTAAAGGAGCAGTGGGACCTCAGGGTACACATACACGATTCTGTGAATGTCGCCAGGCAAATTCAAACATTTGTTAAGAAGGCTTATAGGATGCTTGGGTTTATAAATAGAGGCACAGAGTATAAAAACAAGGAAGTCATGCTACATCTCTACAAATTATTGGTCATAATACATTTGGAGTATTGCGTTCAGTGCTGGACACCTTAATTAAGGATGAAATTTAAAGCCCTGGCGAGAGTTCAAAGGAATTAATGTGGTTGGTGGCTCCTGCTGTGGACTTCAATTTCTCAAAAATGATACAAATATTCCAACGACAATCTCCTTTTGAATGATATCAGGAATGAAGGATTTTAGTTACAAGAAAAGATGAGAGAGACTGGGCTTGTTCTCCTTAGAGCAGAGAAGAACAAAAGGTGACCTTATTGAAGTGTTCAAAATTATGACAATGTTGACAAGGTAAAGAAGGATAGTCTATTTCCACTAGTTGGTATGTCAGTAACTAGGGGTCACAACTTCAAGTTTGTCAGCAAGAGAGCTAGGAGCGAGATGAGGAGAAACTTCTTTACTCAGTTGTTAGGATTTGGAATGTGCTGATGGGAGAGTGGAGGAGACAGATCCCATAGGAGGTTTCAAAAGACAGCCAGATATATATTTGAAAAAGATACAGTTAGATGGCTACAGAGATAGGGCTGAAGAATGGGATAAGCTGGTGACTTTTACAGAAACCAGTACAGACATGACAGGTTGAATGGTCTCCTCCCGTATTGTAAAATTCTATTATTTAAGTAGAGACGGGAATATCCTTGATAATGAATAAACAGGGTTCAAAACTTAGATCAAAGTTGAAAAGAACACCAAAATTGTGAATACTTTGGTTAGGCCTGAGACACTGCTAGGGAAAGGGAAGAGGCTCTTGGAAAGAAAGCAGAGTCTGTCTGTGAGGTTGAACTGAAGACTGTGTTTTTCAATGGTAAAGTGGAGAAAGTAGACTGAAAACAAAAATGAGTAACAATTGATCTTTGAATTGTGTAGGATGGCTATGCTGATCATTGCCTTTGAAACATGAACAGTACTTTGCTCTTTATTGGACTTGGTAGCACAGAAAATAATATCATAATCAAAATGAAGATGACAAAAATCCTACTACTTCTGAATATGTAACTAGGAGTGATATGTGGATTGCAAAAGAATACTGGCACTTCGTTAGCATTCTGTCTAAGGCATCAGCATAATTAATAACATTTTGAAGCAGAGATTTTACCGCAATCTTGTCCTAACAAAACTCATAACTGAAAAATTTGTTTTCAGGTGGTAATCATTGAAGAATTAATTCTGATGAATGCGCCTAAAGAACGTATTCTCTTCACCTGGTCTATTGTGTCATATCTCTAAAAGAACTACTTGTTCAATTTGCTTTCCAAAACTAACTTGTTCCAACACCTGGGAGAAACGCAACGAAGCTGCTGAAAATAAAGTGTGCCTCTGTCAACAGGTGAAGTTGCTTTGGTTGAAGGGGCGAAATAAGGCTCAGTTCCACCATATGCTGTTTTGCCCCCAGCTGCTAGCAGATGTAATTTTATGTCTAGAGATAATCAGAGTCGGTAACGTCACTGACTAAGGAGCAATTTGACTTTAGCCCAGGGGAGTGTAACAGCTTTGCAGACCGTTTTGGTGTCACCAACCTCTCCGAATTACTGGCTGATGTGTCTTCACCGACAGGCGCCCCCCCAACTGTCATAAACATGCTGCAGGATCGTCGAGAGACGCCACTCAACAGACCAGTCCGGGATGCCGAAAACTAGAAACTCCATCTTACCTGCACCGTCCTCTCTCTTCTCCCTGCACCGGCTCCATCTTCTTCTTCACCAACTCTCAGGCCCCGCACATGGATTCAACTACCGTCAAGCGACACACTTCCGGCAACGGCCAACGGTCGCAATGAACAGGCAGCCTGCCGTAAATCTGCCCCTGGCGTAACGGTAACCATGGAGACAGGCTCATACCTTGGCCCAGAGACTGAGTTCAGCGACCCAGACTTGCTGCAAATCAAGCTTATACTGTCACACGTTACAAGAACAATCTTTTCAGATCACTTAGGAATGTGGATTGTAATGTGAAGCAGGTCGAGGGCATATAACAATCAAGTGAGCCTTGTAATTTAAAAATATTTTAAGTATTTTTTAAAATGAGAAAATAAAGAAATGCATCAAATTAGGCTATATAAATTAGACTCTGAAAATCAGACTGTTTCCACTCAATAAACAGGATCAGCCGCAGACGTTTAACTGCTATGTGTAAAATTTGGCTGGAATGATTGATGTTTGTTTGTAAGCTGTAAACGTAATTGTTAAAAATGACAAAAGAACAAACTTACAACAGAGATTTGCAGTATAACTGTAAGGACCTACTTGAACAAAACAAATGTAGGAAAGTAGGTGTTTGAAGAAATACAATTTGAGATCAGCCAATTCAGAAATACTATGACACACCTCTAGAGCACGTGGGACCTGAACATAAGCCTTCTGAACTTGGGGAAGGGAATGTACCACTGCTCCATTTGAGTCCCACAAAATACAATTGTACATATTTGTTAGTCAACCCATTCAGACATGTTATTACATCCACAGGGAAGATGGGATTTGAACACAGAGGTGACACTACTAATGTGTCACAAGACCTGTGCATATTTTTAATCACGCTGTTCAGGTGTGTTATGACACACTTTTTGAACCAAATGAGACCTGAACTAGGACGCGACCACTACACCACAAAAGCCCCTCAGAATTCTATTGTAGACATTTTCTAATCAATCTGTTCAAAGATGTATACACATCTATGGAGCAAGTAGGTTTTAAAGCCAGGCCTCCAGTTGCAGAAATTGAGGCATTATCACTACACCACATGTAATTTTACCCTTAGTGTACTGGCTGGCTTGCGAAGTGATGTGACCTCTACCTATGCTGTCAATGCCTTTGTGCACGGTCATTAAATACATATTACTTGAAACATGGTGTTGAAGCAGTTTGCCTGAAAATATGCGAATTTTAAGAGCTGCAAGAGAGCTGAAAGAAACTGCAATGAAGAATTTTTTTTTAAAAAAGGCCATGCATTTTCCACTTCATGCTGCTGTGGAAATGAAAGAAGGTATGAAACAGAATTAGATAATTTTCCCCGAATTTGAGTGGCAAAACAATGAAATAGCTACAGACTTAATTTGAGCAATTAAGTGTAATAATCCATCTATGAGTACTAAAGAAAGAGAGCTACCAGCTGTTTGTGGCTTAAACCTCTAAGGAGAACAAATACCAGACAGAAGAAATTTTACAAGTTTTGAAGAGTTAACAGCAGTATATATTCAATAACAGAGCTCGAGAGAGAGGGAGACTATAAATCAGTGTATGACAGCACTGATGCATCTCACGGAATCCTGAGTTTGTAGACAACTGGAAGATGATCTCCTTAAATCTGTGCAAAGTCACTCAAGATAGTGATCCAAAAATGAAGCCCTCAGTGATGAGCTTGAGGCTGTATAATTAAATGATACTCATCTCAAAAGGTCAAATAAAGTTGAGAGCCCAATAAGATGGGAAGAATAAAGATCCACACAGTAGATATTCAGCAAAATCCATTCATCTCAATTGAAGCAAATCTAAAGCTTGGACAAGTAACTCTGTTATGTCCTGATGGTTCATAATAATTTATCTGTTGCTACAGTCAAATTACTTGTATTAAATAGTAATTCCATTAAGTACAGAAACCTGGTCTATACTTTTTGTCAACCTGGGTCTAAAAGAAAGATAAATTAAGGGAAAAAAAAAACTGTGGATGCTGAAAATCAGAAACAAGAACAAAAATTGCTGGAAAACTCCATCAGGTCTGGCAGCATCTGTGGAGAGAAAGCAGAGTTAATGTTTCAGGTTCAGTGACCCTTCTTCAGAGAAGAAATTAGGGAACGTATCACACTTTAAAAAATCTTAACTTTTGTGATGATTCTGAAAATAGCAGGGCTTGATTTTCTGTGCCCTACCCCAGTGAAATATAACAACACTCAGAGAGAGAGAGAACTATTGTCTTCCTATTGTCTTTGTTGTGAACATTTTAATAAATAGCTGTTTGAGAAAGACAAAATGACAATGAAGCATGACCACAATCCACTTAAGGGATGAATTGACAACCTGAGCTGTCATCTTGTACGAAAGGAACAGTTATTATTCCTCAGGAAATAATAAAACAGATGCTGAAGTGTATCTATGCAAACCATCAAGGAATTGAGTCAATCTGAGGAATGCTAGAGAATGGCTGTACTGCCCAAACATGAGGAATAAGATTAAAAGACGTCATCAGCCAATGCAATGACAAATAACAAGCTAAGATGGCTAAAGATGTGTTATGATGTTTGATGTTGCAGTCAGACCATGGTTGAAGCTTGAAATAGACCTCTTCACTTTTGTATGAATTAATTATCTCATCACTGTTGACTACTATGCTGACTACTGGGAATTAGTTTGGCTAACTTCAAAAACTATTAGTGAGATTGTAGAATGCTTTAAAGCATACTTCAGTCATTAAGGCTTTCCAGACATTAAGATAATTCATAACTCATTATTCAATAGTGAAGAATTCAGCCATGTCACAATAGATTGAGACATTTAACATTCTTTCATCTCCACATTATCTCCAGTCAACTGGAAAGGCTGAGGCATCAGAGAAAATCACCAATGAGATTCTAAAGAAAGGAAGGTGGTTGTTGCTCTCTCAGTTCTTAGAGTCTCCCATCTAATATTTGCCAGCTAGTCCTGCAAGAAGAATTGGAATTAATGTGCAACCTATGAACGAGGATTGAAGTAGGACAAAGCAGCTTATCATGTTGAGTAGCAACATGTGTGTCCAAGAGAAGAAGTCTCTGCATGGAAGCAAATTCTTCATTGTGAAGAATTTAAAAAAAAATAAAATTCATTCAAATGCAATCAAAATAAAGGAAGACAGACTGGTATCTTCAATCACCTCTGGAATTCCCAGAGCTTTTCAGTCGAAGAAAGTTTGAAGAATTATTTTATAGGGAACACCAATTTCTACATTTTTAGATCCCATAAGTGGCAATAAGGTAAACGATTGGATAATTTGTTTTGACAATGTTGGTTAAGAGATAAACATTGCTGAAGACACCAATGTTGTTTATGCCACAGTGTGGACAGTAGCAACCGTTCACTATTTAAATTTAAGCTGAAGGAGATGTGGAATTCGAATTGAAGGAGTGATTTTTGGGAAGCGAGGAAAAGAATAGTCATGTTGGGGGAAAAAAGCATGAAGTTTCAAGGATATATTCAAAGTAAGACATTTGGTAGGTCTGGCATTATCATGTTCAGCCATATTTTGAAGACATTCCTCTTTGTCCTAAATTGTTCACCTTCACAGCAGTCTCAAGAAGTCAGGATGTCTTGACCTTTTTTTAATATTCATACATAGAATGAGAGGTTATACTTTTAGGTTAAAAGATAGCAGTCTCAAACAGAAACAATAAGCAATTACTTATTTCAAAGGGTCGTGAATCTATCGAATTCAATGTTCATGTTTGAACCAAGGACATAACAAGGTCAGGAGCTGAATGGCCCTGGCGGAACACAAAGTGGGAATCACTGAGCAGGTTATTGCTGAGCAAGTGCTGCTTGACAGCATTGCTGATGACACCTTCCATCACTTTGCTAATGAACAAAAGTAGACTGATGGGGCTGTAATTGGCCGGGTTGGATTTGTCCTGCTTTTTATGTACAGGACATACTTGAGCAATTTTCCACATTGTCGGTTTGATGCCAGCATTGTAACTGAGCTGGAACAGCTTGGCTAGGGGAATGGCAAGTTCTGGAGCACAAGTCTTCAGTACTGTTGCCAGAATATCATCAGGGCCTGTAGCCTTTGTAGTATCCAGTGCTTTCAACCGTTTCTTGATATCACGTGGAGTGAATCAAATTGGCTGAAGACTGGTATCTGTAATGCTGCAGACGACTGGAGGAGGTTGAGATGGGTCATCCACTCGGCACTTCTGGCTGAAGATTGCTGCAAAAAAGTCAGCCTTATCTTTTGTGCTGATGTGCTGGGCTCTTCAATCATTGAGGATGGCACTATTTGTGGAGCCTCCTCCTCAAATGAGTTGTTTAATTGTCCACCAGTATTCATGACTGAATGTGACAGGACTGCAGAGCTTAGATCCGATCTGTTGGTTGTGAGATCTCTTAGCTCTGTCCATCACTTGCTGCTTATGCTGTTTGGCGTGCTGTTTGGTGGCTTCACTAGGTTGACATCTCATCTTCAAATATGCCTGATGCTGCACCTGGCATGCCCTCCTGCACTGTCCATTGAACTAGGGTTGATACCCTGGCTTGATGGTAATGTTTGATTGGTGGATATGCCAGGCCATGAGGTTACACTTTGTGCTATCTACAAAACATTATCCTAGGTTTATGGATTACTAGTAATATCACCACTGCAGCTGTGCCTCCACATTGATATCATGATTGCTGCTCCAAAAATATAGTTTTCCTGCAATTTCTCAATCATTTTGTTCCTATCAGATAAATGAGGGGGGATCTCATAGAGACTTATAAGATTCTAACAGGACTGGACAGGGTAAATGCAGGGAGGATGTTCCCACTGGCTTGTGTGTCCAGAACCAGGGGTCACAGAATGAGGATTCGGGGTAGACAATCTAGGACAGAGTTGAGGAGACATTTCTTCACTCAAATAGTGGTGAGCCTGTGGAATTCATTACCACAGGAAGTAACATTGAATGTAGTCAAGAGGTGACTAGATACAGCACTTGGGGTGAATGGGATCAAAGGTTATGGGGAGCAAGCAGGATTAGGCTATTGAGTTAGACGATCAGCCATAATTGTGAAGAATGGCGGAGCAGGCTTGAAGGGCTGAATGGCCTCCTCCTGCTCCTATCTTCTATGTTTCTATTCATTCATGGGATATTGAAAT